TATTTTAATTCTCTCAATAACTTAGTTTTTGCATTGATTTTTTATTAAATTAGTAATTTTTAATTTCCAATTGCCCTTTCTAAGTTTTTTATTAAAAAAAAAACATACGTGAAAGAGAAAAATAAACAATCTGAAGAAAGACAAATTGGAGAAAAAATAATTCATGTAATGAAAAAATTAATAAAATGACTAAATTATTGATAGAATTAAAACTTAGAGGACTAAATAATTAATTTTTTTAAAAAAATTAATTAATTAATTCACTTTTCGCAACAAGAGATACTAAATTATAGTTCACTCGTTAAATAAGCCGGTGCTTGTTTGGCAACATTTTTTATGCTTTTATTTTTTCTCTTATCTTCCCAACAAAATTTAAAGGGAATTTTACGTGTTGGTGTTTCCTATTTTATTTTTTAGAGATGAACGTCCTATTTGATAGCATAAGATTTCTTTCAATATAAGGAATTTTTTTAACAGGTCTATTATTATCACGATGAAAAAAAAAAGTAAAACTTTTAATTTAGCATTTACCCATTTAGTTTTTTTTTCCTTCCCCAATAATTCCTTGATTAAAAATTTCTCCATTTGCATTTACAAATTATAATAAAATATGTAATAGAAACATAAATAATAAATTTAGGATCTAAATAACACTTACTAAAGTAGTTTTACTATATCAATAGACGATATTAAATCACTATATGAAATTCTACAATCCCAAAGGTAAGATAATCCTCCACTCGTTTTACTTTCATGTACAAAGTTAAAAGCTTTCCATTTCTCTACTTTTTTTTTTTATATTAAGTTTGTGTGTGTGTGTGTGTGTGTGTGTGTGTGTGTGTGTGTGTGTGAGAGAGAGAGAGAGAGAGAGAGAGAGAGTTGAGGGCAACAACTTCACCAACAATTGCATAGAAGTTGTTTGAAATTTAAATTCATTTCTTCTTTTTCTTTCTTTTTAAATAATTTTATTATCGGGTCGACTCATCATGGGCAATCGACCCAAAATTTCTTTTTTCTAATATCTCCACTCGCATATGACGGGCTAGACCCGACTTGAGACTCTTCGCAATATCGATAGTAAAACAAAAAAGAACATTTTTATACTATCAAATGGATCATGCAACCTTACAAGCATTCTTGTATTTTTTGAGAGATTATTATTATGCATATGTTAGGAATAACATGGTAGCTACCACCTAAGATTAATAAAAGATAAACAAGATATAATATTTTTTTAAAAATCACAATACTCTATATAAATTTTGTGTTTAATATCTCATTATGTCAAATCTCTCAATCAACATATAGTCCGATTTCAAATTATATATTTATAATCACATACTCTTTTCTCTCAAATGGTGCTTTTTTCAATCGACATGATTGGTCGGCTAATGAATATACCAAACATGTCTTTTTCTCTTACTAGAAATTTTTAATTCAAAATTTGACTGATTTGCTAAACTAGTTGTATAGAATGATTCATACATGATTATAAGTAACTAGCTAAGATAACAAACACCAAGCCTAAATCTCGAATAGCGATAAACAATGATAAGAATATTATTGTTCCTCTAAATATCTCACACAATGGAGAAGCAAGAATTCATTCGCCCATTATCTTTTACGGTTATATTAGCACATGTGGTACGAATCATGTGCAATAGTGTTCTTAGTTATAACATCTTATATACATTATACGGATCTTAATTCAATCATCGGACACGAGCGACTAACTTGAGTTCTCAAGGTATTTTCTCTCGGTAAGTATTATAACCGAGATCTCAAATCTAGTTTTCACAAATTATTTGAATCAAATTTTCTAAATCGATTGTAAAATATACATTAGTTTACAATCTTATTTTAATTTTACATTAACATGATAAAATTAAAATGAGATTTTGTTAATATTATCTTTACTCCACTAGCGCTCAATAATGCTAAAACAATTTTGTCTCATCTCTACTTGTTCCCAACAACATCGAAAGCGATTGCTCGTGTGAGAGAGTCATTCGAAACTTGTGTGACTTTCAAAGTTGAGCTTTATCATAGTAATATGCATACAATGTTAATTACACCAAAAAAAAAAAAAAAACTCAATTGTTTAATATTATGACAAAGTTACAATCTATACATTCTAAGAGATTTAACATGTCTAAGATAAACGACTCTCGATATGGGTTTTGTGAGAGGATCTGTCGTCAAATGTGTAAATATATGTTGTACTAACAATTCTCTTTTTTATGATGTCTCTAACGTAGTTATACTTGGTGTCAATATGTTTGGTTCTACTATGACGCTTGGAATTCTTGGTATAAGCAATAGATGTCTAGTTGTTACAATAGACTATAGCCTTAGCTATCACTATTAACTTTCAAATCCTCAAAAAATCTTGTTAACCAAACTCGCTTCTTGCGCAATAGTTGAATAAGCTATAAATTCAACCTCTATATTAGCAAAACTATGTAGGATTTGTTTCTTATTTTTCCAAGATATAACATCATTATTACGTAAAAAATCATAGCTAGAAGTGAATTTGCCTTCATCAAGGTCTCCTTCTCAATTAACATTTGAATACCCAATCAAATGTAAGTTTTTCTCTATGATAACACAAAAAATAATCTATAGTGCTTTTAAGATATCTCGGGATTTTTTTATGATGCATCCTTTGATGATAAATAAAAAGGCATATGGAAAATTAGAGTGGATAAAGCTAAAGTAGCTACTTTCGAAGTAATAGAAAGAAAAGTAGCTACTGTAATGAGAGAGCGAGTAAAAAAAAAAAAAAAAAAATTCCTTTTTTTTTCCTCTCTTATTCAAAATCGTGCATGAGACTTTTATCTCACATGACTCCTAAGAGATAAAAAGAAAAATGTGTTAACAACGTAGCTGGAGGTGGCAAGCGAGAGCAATTGTTTTTTTCAATTGTTGTTTTGTCTAACTTTTTTTTTTGGTGGCTAGCATTTTTTCGGTTGTGTTTGTGTGTGTGTGTGTGTGAATAAAGATTAGGATAAGATGTATTTATAGTGTGCTATCTAAGTTGGTTTAGGTTTTTTTTTTTTAATATTTTTTTGGATTCGATTGGGCCTAGGCGACCAAGCGCGACGCCCGGCACGTGTCTTACTAGCCTAGGCCCATTCCCTATTCTCGCTTTTTTGAATTATTTTCTCTTTGTTTTTTTTTTTTTTTTTTGTCATTTTAAACATCTTCGATTTCCTGTCAAGAAATTGAAAGGTAAAGTAAAAATAACAAATAATTAGAAAGAAAACCAATAAAATTAATTGATTAGATGAGTTTACAATTTTCATGCTCGTTAGTTGGGGTTTAATTTTAGGTAATGATATAAACTTAAAAAACCTACTATTAAGTAACATAAATATAAATTCACCTAATTAATTAGTTATATTAATTTTTCGTTTTAAGTTTTTTTTTAAAGAAAAATGATATGGGAATTCAAATTGAAAAAATAATGAATATGTCCTTATATAATTGAACAAGTCTTTAATATGTCTATTTTTTTTAATTGTGTCTATTATATAATTGTATGGTATTTAATTTTCCTATATGTCCTTTTTTAAAAGTTTTTCTATCTAGATTAGCATATTTATATTTTTAATTCCAAAATCTCTCTAAGTTATATAAGGATTTAACAGAAAAATTGTTCAAAATTACTCAAAATGTTTTGAAAAATTAAAAATTCAAATTACAAAAGCACTAAAATTTTAATAAATAATATTTTAAAAAATTAAAATTATATTAATGGGGTATTTCATAATAATAAAAATATATAATTATGTTAATTTAGATAACAAATTAAATAAACTTATACATTAGAGAAGTGGATATTATGAGACATAACAGGCACAATTAAAAATATAGAGATATATTGAAAGTTTTTCTAATCATATTAAGATAGATTGAGTTATTTTACGATAGAAAAAAATTATGAAGTACAAGTACTTTATTTGTAATTTATCTTTGTTAATTTCTAACGGATGGTCCATTTGACGAAAAGGCAAATTCCATATCAACATATTTGTAATAGAAACTAATAAATATACTTGGTTGATCAAATTTGATAAATACAAGTACTTAAGTAGAAAAAAGTTTGTACACATAGTCAAATAGAAACAATTATAAATCACAAGTACTTCATATGCAATGAACCAAAAAAAAAAAAATTATAAAAACAGTATAAATCTGGGTCTACAATAGTTGACTACCATATCAATATTTTGAGAACATGTTTAACGGAAATACTTGATTGATTAAAATTCGTGATTACAAATATTTGAAGTACACGTACTCAAATAGAAAAATAAAAGAGTACAGGTACTTCAGATGCCTTTATTTTAAGAAAAACCCTAAATTTGAGGCAATGCTTAAACCATTTCCTTCTTCTTTCTTACCGTGTCTGCAGTTAACGAGAGAAAAATTATTTCTTACTTCTTCATCATTTAATTAGAATCAACATTAATCAAAACAAAAATTGTGACAGCGTTGAAGACTAGGGAAAGGAGATATTGTTGAGAATTTTCTTGATTTCCTTCATCTCTCTGCCGATGTATGCACTGCTCACTCGTAGCTTGTTTCTTTTGTTGTGTTTTCAAATCTTCTTCATTCATCGTTGAGTACTTGTTCCTTTCATGCTGCTTCATACTTCATTGAGAGTAGGTTTCTACCCACTACGTAATTCCTTTTCCATGTTTCTTTTCATATAGAGATACATATCAGACATTTAAAAGAAGTGACTTTAAGTTATGTCTCAACCACATTTTGATATCTATATATTTTTCTTTTGATCAATCATATCTGGTTCACAAGTAATCCAAAAACTAACTGATTAATTAAATGACATAGTTTTGTTTACAGTTATCCGATCACGCATAGGATTTCATGCGAGCTTGCCTTATCTAAATTTCCAGAAAAAGAAAAAAAAAAAAACAATCACGGGTGTCCGGTTCGGTTCTGATAACGTCGGTCTATAGCTCTCACCTGCCACAATGGCATGTATAAGAACCACTGGTGCTTTTGTAGCAGCCATTTCTGTGTCCATGGCAGTGGTCTCTTACTTTCTATGCAATTACAGGTCCAAGAGAAAGACCCCTTTGTCCCTTTCAAAGAATAAAAAACCAGGAAACGGACTCATTGATGCTGTTGGTAAAACTCCCTTAATTAGAATTAATAGCCTCTCTGAAGCTACTGGTTGTGAAGTAAGTTCAAGATGTGCTCTTTTGCTTCATATTATGATCTGGGTCTTCCGTAATTTCTCTTTTTAATATGTTTGCAATGGAGTTTTGGGATTGTATCTGTTTATGAATGAAATACATGTCTGGGGTCAAGCTATGGTTTTTTTATGAAATATGGTCTTGATTATGGATTTATGGTGTATCAGTCCACGTGTAAGCAAGTGTATACAAGATATGTGTTTGTGGTTGATCATGGTCTCTTCTTTAACTCACAATCTTCCATACTCCTCTCCGCGATAAATGATTCAATTTGATGGTCAATAATTTTTCTTCATTTTTTGAATTCGGTGTTTATGCTTGTTGCTTGGTTGATTCATATTACAAAATAGGTTCATGGTTATTGCTTATTGCTTTTGGTTTCATTTATCCTTGATTTTTCTTTGTTCAGATTCTTGGGAAGTGCGAATTTCTGAATCCAGGAGGGAGTGTGAAAGATAGAGTTGCTGTGAAAATAATTGAAGAGGTAAATTACTTGAATGCTTTGGTCAGTTACCAATCGTGAAAAAATAAAGCTGGAAAGTTGTTTTGGTTAGCAAGTAGTTCCGGAGAGCAGATATGATTGTTAACTTCTGACATGATGATAGACGGTAATGGTTGTGGCTTATAAGTTTAGTATGACCCATCATAAAATATAAGCTGATATGAAATTCTTTTTTAACAAAATGCAGTCATGAGAACAGATTCAAATCTAATGTTTTGTTTATGTGAGCAAACTAGGGCATTGTAAATTGAGACAAGAAATTTGTTGTCACATGGAGCTTAAGCTCAAGGAAACAACTTAGGGGTCATTTAACTACTTGCCTGTCTTAAATAGTGGCACCTGAAGTTCCTTCTTCAAACTGAATTTAGACACACAGAAATTCCTCTTGATGCTATTTAATCCAAAATCTATGTGAAATGTTGCAATTTTTAAGTTTCCAAATTTTTTAGATGGTGAACTGGGATTACTAATAAGGATTGCTAATTGAATGAAACAATTGTCTCCTCATATTCTGTTTTTCAACAGTTCAATTATCCCTTTTGTTAATCACATTGTATATCCTTTCTTTTAAGCAGCCCAAATATGATTTAGCTTTTGCGACACTTTAATGTCACAAAGTAATTAAAGCTTGTAACTGGCATTATTTTGTTATCCTCTGTTACACTTTCTATATGTTTGGCTTTATAACAGGCACTGGAATCTGGCCAGCTAGTTTGTGGAGGAGTTGTTACTGAGGGAAGTGCTGGAAGCACTGCAATTAGCCTGGCTACAGTTGCTCCTGCTTATGGATGCAAATGCCATGTTGTTATCCCAGATGATGTTGCAATAGAGAAGGTACAGATATAGTGCAATTTTCAGATTAATTTTCCTTTTATCGAGTTGTCTTAGGTAAATGTATCATAGGCAATTTAGTAGCTATAGATAAGTTGTAAAGAAGCTGTAGAATACAATGATGAAGATTTAGGATGCTCCTTGAATTTACGTCTGAGGACCTATGAAAAATATATGTTTTTGTATACACGTCCGTGAAATAGACATACACTAGAGTTTCCTTCTTCTGAGCATGCACCTGAATCCTTGATATTCATTTTTCCTGCGCATTTTTTTTATCATTCACATTCTGTGACCAACTTGAGTTTGTTACTCTTGAAAATTCTTGTTAGTCTCAAATTCTCGAAGCTCTGGGAGCTACTGTTGAAAGAGTGCGACCGGTTTCAATTGCACACAGAGACCACTATGTCAACATTGCTAGGAGACGGGCACTAGAAGCTAATGAATTAGCATCAAAGCTTAGAAAAGCTGAACAGAATGATGGCAAACACTTGGAGCAAATTAACAGTTACATATCTGATGGAGAGAAAAAAGGTTCTGTTTTTTCAAGTTACTGTAATGGTGGTTTTTTTGCTGATCAGTTTGAAAACTTGGCAAATTTCCGGGCCCACTATCAGGGCACTGGACCTGAGATATGGGAACAAACTAGTGGTAGTTTAGATTCGTTTGTGGCAGCTGCAGGCACGGGCGGTACTGTAGCTGGTATTTCTAGTTTTCTCCAGGTAAAATTCTTCCCTTTGTTTTAAACTTTGTCATTTATGTTGAGCTAGAGAAGTCCCATCGAATCCTTGTTACATGTTCTACAGGAAAAGAATCCAAACATCAAGTGCTTCCTCATAGATCCGCCTGGTTCTGGTTTGTTCAATAAAGTAACAAGGGGGGTGATGTACACGAGAGAGGAAGCTGAAGGAAAAAGGCTAAAGAACCCATTTGACACTATAACGGAAGGAATTGGAATCAATAGATTAACACAAAATTTTAAAATGGCAAAACTTGACGGAGCCTTCAGAGGCACAGATAAAGAGGCTGTTGAAATGTCAAGGTCAGTCCATGCTTCCTTTTCTGCCTTCGTTTATATATAGTAGTTCTTGATTGCTTAGATGTTAAGAAAGATGTAATGAGGAGGAAATTATGTGACAGTGTCCTGGTTGGTGGGATAGTTGCACAAAGATATATGGTCTCTTGCTATATCTCTGCTAACGTCTTACCCTTTTTTCTCTCAGCGAGTTTTCTTGTTTCTTCAAAATGGAAAATTTCCAATAATTTTTAATTAATTCTCCTTGTTAATGGGAAATTTTGAAATATTTTGACCTTTCTTCACTTTACATGGAATGACTGCTCTTGAAACTTGATTTTATTTCCTTGCTTGTGCAAGTTAAAGATTTCTCCCATGGCACTTGAACTGTGCTCCTACTAGTTTTACTTGTTCAGACTATGTTTCCGAACTACATCTTTACTTGAACTTCTCAGGTATCTTTTGAAAAACGATGGCCTCTTTCTGGGGAGTTCTTCAGCCATGAACTGTGTTGGAGCTGTTAAAGTGGCAAAGTCACTTGGCCCTGGTCACACAATTGTGACCATTCTGTGCGATAGTGGAATGAGGCATCTGAGTAAGTTTTATGATGCTCACTATCTGTCTCAGCATGGTTTGACAGCCACAGCAACTGGATTAGAGTTCCTTGATATCCAATGAGATTTGGTCCTGACATTAGTTTTATCCAGAGTCATAGAATCATGATGCGGATATTTTCATTTGTGAAGCTTTTCGGTAAGACTGGCTTTCGCCCCGTGACGGTTTGATGTGATTTTTGGGGATGACAGCATACGGAAGCAGTGATATTAACGTAGATCAAAACACCGTTTACATCATAAGGATTCGGACGCCACAGACCTTAATGCCAATTAGGTTGATAATGATTATTTGGTTGGCAGGAGATTCTTTAAAATCATTTGTATTATGGTCAAAGGAACAAAACCTTTCTTGAACTTTTAAGTCATTTGAAAATCGGTTCTTAACTTTTAATTTCGGTTTAGAACTTTTTTCAACTATATTTTAAAATTTTTAATTATTTTTCATTTGAAATTGAGTCTTTCTGTTAAGTTTTCATCAATTATAACGTGCAAGTACAGTTTCTTGTAAGGTAAAAATATCCCATAACTTATAATTGTTTCATTTCTCTCCAAATTCTTCCTTATTAAATGCTAAGAAGTAAGCACATTTTAGAATAAAAGAAATAAGTTTTTGAGAAAAAGTAAATCATCCATAAGTTTTGACATATTTTTAGTTGTTAGGAAAGTCAACTATGTGCAAATCATATGGATATCTATCATTAGAATTTATGAAAACCTAATAGAAAAATTTAATTTCAAATGAAAAATAGTTTGAGAAAGTTTCACTATGAAATTAGAAGTTGATGGATTGATTTTCAAATGATTTAAAATTCAAGAGAGATTTGGAACATTTAGTCTTGTATTATTGTTGATCATCAATTTCTAGTTGAGACCACTCTGTAGAAAATCTTGGGACCTTGCCTGCATATGTCCGTAATCTTTGGAGCATCATAACTTTTCCCTGTGGTTTTTTTTTCCCCCTTTTTCAGTCTTCTGGATCAATTGGAAGCCTTGTTAATATCAGCAGCTGAACTTTAATTATAGGTTCTAGAACGAACAGAAACTGCTTTCCAGCTAATTCATTTGACACTAATGGAATGGAATATAACTGAGAGATTAAAGGATCATTATTTTTCCAATCTGTTATGTCAAAACTACCTTCTTCCAAATCCAAATTCCATGTTCCTGATGCCAATATCTTGCCAGGAAAAAAATAGTAATGAATTATCCATGAATGCTTTGCCAACATGGCAAGATGCTGGCTATATAATTAACTGGTGGATTTTAGCAATTGGCTATGGCTGAACCTTTGGTTGTTGGTTTATGTGAAAAGAATATAAGACTAGGAGGGTACTTGTCCTGCAAAGCAGGAGTAAATGAATAAATAACAGAATAAGCCTGAATGAAGATAAGCTAATTTAGTAAAATTGCATCACGTTTACAGAGCATCACAATTAATACAAGGAACTTGAGACAAGTACGCCTAATAAATTCTAGCTCTTGACATCACCCTCACACGCCATGTTAAACTTGTTGAGTTGAAAGAACTGCTTGATCATGCTTCAATCTCAAACCTTGAACACTTGATTGATCCCATGGAAAGGTCAATTTCTATTAAGTTTTCCTCTTCATTGACCTCATTAATCTCTGCAAATAGCTCCATAAGACCCTGTTGCCTGAAAATGGAGTCAGGCAAGTAATCTGGCATATTTGAATCTGACTTTTTCTTTGACTCTTCATTGCAATCAACAGAATTGTTCTGTGGAAGACTAATCTCAATAAGACCATCACCATCCTCGTCATCGTCATCGTCATCGTCAGAGATTGAGCTTTCAGAGACTCCTATACTTCGTCCTACATTTTCTGAGCACCTCCAACTGAGCTCAAAATTTTCACTTGCTGGGAAATCATCACTGCTATCACTATCTGAGGGGAAATCTGTTGGTTCCACATGATATTCATGCATGTCGCAAGCATCACTTTGTTGGGAAGCATCGCAATTAATTATAGGTTCCACTTCTGGATTTAGTTCCTCCAAAACTTCCTTTTCAAGTATGCTCTGAGGGCAGCAGCATATGGGACTTTCTTCTTCTGCCGAAATGCCAACAACAGTCACCTTTTTCTTTGAGAATTTAACAATGAAAATGGTTGACAGAAACAAAATAGATATTGTGACAAGGAAAGTAGAGATCCCATAAAGTAGGAAACAAGTGAAAATAAGAGAAGCGACAAAGACTGCAACAAAAAGCAATGAGGGTGTGAAGAAATGCAGTGAAGAACTAATTTGACGCTCAGGTGGATTTCCCATTTCCATGGATCAAAAGCAGCTTGAATGTGAGATTCGATAAAAAAAAAAGAGTAGATCTGTATAAAAGATTGAAGAAAAGAAGCAAAAGCACTTCTGGGATCTAATATTTCTTACAAAGTAACACAAGAAGAAGCGGAATTGCTGGTACAAGTAGCTGCTTGGTGCTTACGTATTAAAGAAAGGTAAACTACTGCAATTACAAGAGAGGAGATTGGATACAGAAGAATAATTAAGAACCATATAAGCACACCTGGAATGAGTCATCAAGGAAGAATTCAAGTATCTGGTTGGCGACAGAAATAAGTGTTTATATACACACACACACACACATATAATGCTCTCTCACAGAAAATCACAGTGCTTTTTCCCTCTCACTCAGTGTTCCTGATTAACTTGATCTTCTGTCTTCATTGAGACCAAGCTGTTAAATCAGATACTGAGAGACTTCGATTCTTGAAAAGAGCAGGACCATTTTAATTTTTCCAAATCTCAAAGCTTTGAAATTACCGAATCCATGTGCAAGTGCAAGACACCTGTGCTGATCTCCACATGGCACCTCCACGAAACCCATCATACACAGTACTCATCAACCAATATATATATATAAACTTTATTTCACAATGTCCATTTACTTTTATCCACAATCAAACAAAATCCATTATGAGCAAAAGCTTTTCTAAAAAACGGATTTGCTTTGAGGGAGTGAAATGAAAAAAATTAACAATCCAACTTTTAAAGCTAAAGTAGAGTGAAATCCTTTGTTAGTCAACATAAAGCAGTTGCAGCAATTTCAACTACATTAATTACCAAAAAGAGCATAGTAACAAGTAATGATAACCCATTTTGTGTTGTCTGCAATAAGAGGATCAAAGAGTTACAGATACAATGATACAAGTCCATTTGTGCTGCTGCACGCTTTGATCAGGGTCTTAATGGAGACCCATTACTTTGAAGAGATCTTTTGGCTGATAATGCCAGCCACCGTTACTCCCATGTGTCTGATGTTATAGTTATCACATGCAAACAGAGCTGCAGGGTGAAATAAAATGGTCAGGTTCATAGCAGGCTCTGTGGAGAGACTCTGAATCCATGCATGGCAGAACTGTTTTCATTTATCCTCTTACATTTATATGTGGTGGTCAGTGTTTTGGTTTTATACATTAAAAGAAAAACATTTATTATCCCTATAGCTCAAGAAGAAAAATAAATAAATTCTGTATGATGTTGTCGTAGTTCTCTCCCCAGAGAGACCAAAAGGGTGCATTGCTAACATGCAAACTCAAGTTGGGCTCGGCTTTCTTTTTTGTTTTTCAAAATTTCTTCTATTTTTTTTTATGTATTTAGAATGTGTAGAGATCCATACTCGATCGCATCCTATTGTTCAATATGTTTTTAAGATAAAGTGAGGAGTTCGAAGCAAACATACTCGAAAAAAACACTAATTAGCAGTTCTAAATTTGTAGTGCTTTCATTGTCGGACGTCATTGATGGCAAAGAACAACACCAATTGCCACTTGCCAGCAATATTCTCGCTTGTCTTTTTATTTAAGGCAAAAGGTCCACCAAACTAAAAGTAATATTCTCACGAGAAACCTTCCAAGAATTGTCATTCGTTATATTTGCCTGCGTCTAACAATGGATGCCACTAGGGAGATGGCAAAAAAAAAAAATTAATTGATTGATTGGAAAATATTCTGATTTTTTAGTCAATAGGAAACCAATTCCTAACTTATTTTTATTCTAATTTAGATTTTAAAAATCTATTTTTCGATCAACTTTCCATTTATCCGTTAATTGTTTTGTCCAGTTTTTTATTCATCTGTTAAGTTCGACTTCATATAAAGTCACATGAGAAATGTATTCTGAAAAATACACTTCCAGAGACATGATTTCTATTTTATTTTATTTTTTAATAAAAAAAAACCTAACTCATTTACGATAATTACCCTAAAGAAAATATAAAGAGAAAAGAAAAATGAAAAATGAAAAAACATATAACTATTTCGTAAGATATGTGCTTTCCTTTTCAAAAATTAGTTAAATATTCACTAAAAGTATATCCTGATTGAACCAAATTTAAAGTAAAAGATTTTCTCTGTCTTGCATTATTCCTAATTGCCCACATGCTACCATTAAGTAAGAAATGTGTTTTAAGTATAAAAAAATAATTTTAATTTGAATAAAATTATATTAAATTTTTAATATGTAAAGATAATTAGTTATAATTATTTTTTAATCATACCTTATTTAGTCTGGTTTGATATAAAAAACAATCAGTAATTAACTCTACTGATATGTATATATATATATATATATATGGAAAAAGGAAAAGTAGAATCAAATTGGAGAAGCAATTAAAATGAAATCGACCATTTCCATAAAAGAGAGAACGAGATTTGTCCGTCCCCAGTCTCGAATTTCAAATGGCCTAGAAGTTCTTAAGCTTCGATCTAAAGCAAAGCTATCAAAAGGACAGTTTAGAAATTTGAACGAAAATTATGGGTTTTTGTATTGGGTCTCGAACAAAGTTTTTGGATTCGTTTTAGATTTGAAATCGACGTTCCATGAAAGTTTTATAAATCAAAATTAACACCTGTCATGTTATTTTGATTTGAAATCCGATGAGATTTGGAGAATTTTAATTTTGTCGGCATTTGAAGACGGTGGGATAGGATCAGAAGAAAAGAGATGGGACGAGGAAGCTCGGGTTTTTTTAGATTTTTTAGTATTTTCTTTTTCATTTCATTCCATTGTTAAACCATTTTTAGCTTTCGATTAAAATCAAAATTAACACAGAGCTAATGTGTACGGTAAAACTTATTGTACCGACAAGAAACGATTTAATGATAATTTTTAGCATCATTCTATTATTATTTAATAATTTTAAATTTTTATTATTGTATCGTATAATTTAAATCTCAAAATATTAGAAATTAGCAAAATTTGGTATAAATTGTCTAATTTATGTTATGTGTAACGGTCAACCTATAAAAAATGTCAAAACGACGCCCTTTTACCATTTCACTGTTAATTATATTTTCTTTAAAAAATATTTTTAATCCCCTACTCTTGAACTTTTTAAAACTTTTTTCTTATAAAATATTATAAATATTTTATAAAAATGTTTTTTTATAATTTATAAAATTAAGAGGATCAATGCTTAATTATGTTCATTTCAATTTATAAAATACTTTTTTAAGGATTGAAATTGTATACGGCTAATTGTGCTTTTTTATAATAATATTTTATTAAAAAAATAAAAAAAATCAAAATTAAGGGATTAAAAATATTTGTAAAATATTTAGAACATTTTATAAGAAATTTTTTTTAAAAAAAAATATCGAGATTAGGAGAGTTAAAAAAATTGAATCATATTTATCCAATTTTTAATAATTTAATATTTAAATTATATAATTTAATATTATGAATTTAAAATTATTAAATTATAATAAAATAGATATAAAATTTATCATTAAATAGATGGAAAACAAACTTGAGGAGTGTAATATTTCCGATTAAAAGATAGATTTAAAACCTAAATCAAAATAAAAATAAATTAGAAATTGATTTTTGGTTGATCGAATGTTCAAGGTAGGTTCTAACCAATTAAGAAAAAAAGAAAATAACTGAATCATCCCTCGTGCTCTTGATGTAATAATGCTGACTTGTCTTGCTCAACACAAGGGTACAAGTAGTGGACAGGCTGCATCGCCCGTTTGCCGATTGCTGGTTCGTGTGACATTGACTACTAGGTGCGTAATAGATCATTGTAGAATGCGACAAATTCTTTCTAGGGAATAGTCATATAGCACTCTATCAGTTAATTATTGTGTTTTGTACGTTTTCGTCCCCGTTTCTGACAAAAAAATAAAAATAATTATTATTATTACTACTGTTATAAAATTTAAAGAGTACCGTACAGTGGTGGTGGTATTTTCTGACTATAAATAATATCAAGTTTATCGGAAAAAAATAATTAATATTTTCCCGTTTTTCTTGGTAAAACTTGTTTCTTAGTAGTTCTCTCACTTTCCAAAAAGCTTGAAACGAGAAAGAAAAAAAAATGAATAAGTTCGTTTTTCAAAGATAAATAACTAATAAGTTTCATCATATTTTTTTGTAACACTCAAAAATTTCTTCATATTATACATATGTATGTTTGTAGTTGTATTTTAATTTTATTCTTTTTTATTATATATGATTGATATCTTTTAATTGTTTTTATTATATTAGGTATTTTAGATTAAATGTGTTTTGAAATTAATAAAAAAAAGATAATTGAAGTTACTTAAGTTTGATTAAATTTATTAATTGAAATGGATTAAAGTAATGGAATTTTTTAATCTTAAATGAAAGTTTGGAAATGAGGATGAAGTGAGTTTTAAGATTAATTAATGTGTGGAAGAAAATATTTTTTAAAAAAAGGGGGCATGTGTTTAGAAGGCTGGAAAATGACGGGATTAGTCATTTTTTCCATTTTCTTCTTCATTCCTCTTGCTCTCCCTCTCAAATCTTAACTCTTCGCACTTCAATTCCACCACCTCTCACCCATTTTTAACCTATTTTACGACCAAAAAACATAAAATTAAGAGACATGCATTAGAACTGAACAAGAAGAGAAGAGAAAGCAACGATATTAAAAAGAAAACTCAAGGTTTTGGTGATTAAACATTTAAGATAAGAAAAATCTTTAATTTGGCCATGTTTTCATATAATTTTAGGTGGACTGAATTCAGAAATCTCATAGTTTAGGATTGATTAAATGGGTATTGTATTTTAATGTTAGAATCTTAAATATATAGTGAATATTTGATGATTAAGTAAATTTCAATAAGAATTGAAATTTTAATAAATTAGAGTTTTGAATTGAAAATAAATTTGAGAAAAATGAAGAATTGAATTATATGAATACAACTAAAGATGAATGAAAGAAGTATTTGGTGAATTGGAGTAGAATTGGTGATTAATTAGGGTTTTGAAGTGAAAATAAAAATTGAGAA